CTGCAAATAGGCACGATTTTGTATTCATGTGATACCCGCCTCCTTGTGCTGCATTTCACAGTTTGTGCCCTTTTTCGCTATACATCGTTCTCCCCGCTAGGATTCGGTTTCACATGTAGATTCACTTGCCTTCGCGAGTATCCTGCAAATAGGCACGTTTTTGTATTCATGTGATACCCGCCTCCAGGTGCAGCATTTTACAATTTGGTTTGATTTCGCCTCTTCGTCGCTCATCTCGCTAGGAATCAGTATCTCGGCTAAATTCACTTGCCTTCACGAGTATCCTGCAAATGGGCACGATTTTGTTTTCATGTGAAACCCGTCTCCTTGTGCAGCATTTTACAAATTGGTCCGTTTTTCGCTATACATCGTTCATCCCGCTAGGATTCGGTTTCACATGTAGATTCACTTGCCTTCGCGAGTATCCTGCAAATAGGCACGTTTTTGTATTCATGTGATACCCGCCTCCAGGTGCAGCATTTTACAATTTGGTTTGATTTCGCCTCTTCGTCGCTCATCTCGCTAGGAATCAGTATCTCGGCTAAATTCACTTGCCTTCACGAGTATCCTGCAAATGGGCACGATTTTGTTTTCATGTGAAACCCGTCTCCTTGTGCAGCATTTTACAAATTGGTCCGTTTTTCGCTATACATCGTTCATCCCGCTAGGATTCGGTTTCACATGTAGATTCACTTGCCTTCGCGAGTATCCTGCAAATGGACACGATTTTGTTTTGATGTGATACCCGCCTCCAGGTGCAGCATTTTACAAATTGTTCTGATTTCGCCTCTTCGTCGCTCATTTCGATAGGAATCAGTATCTCGACTAGATTCACTTGCCTTCGCGAAAATCCTGCAAATGGGCACGATTTTGTATTCATGTGATACCCGCCTCTTAGTGCAGCATTTTTCAAATTGTGCTGATTTCCACTATAAGTCGTTGATCGCGCTAGGATTCCGTTTCACATGTAGATTCACTTGCCTTCGCGAGTATCCTGGAAGTGGGCACGATTTTGTTTTCATGTGATACCCGCCTCTTTGTGCAGCATTTTTCAAATTGTGCTCATTTCTACTATAAGTCGTTCATCGCGCTAGGAATCAGTATCTCGACTAGATTCACTTGCCTTCGCGAGTATCCTGCAAATGGACACGATTTTGTATTCATGTGATACCCGTCCAATTGTGCAGCATTTCACAAATTGTGCTGATTTCTCCTATAATTCGTTCATCGCGCTAGGAATCAGTATCTCGACTAGATTCACTTGCCTTCGCGAGTATCCTGCAAATGGGGACGATTTTGTATTCACGTGATACCCACCTCATTGGGCAGCATTTTTCCAATTGTGCACTTTTTCGCTATACATCGTTCTTCTCGGTAGGGTTCGGTTTCACATGTTGATTCAATTGCCTTCGCGAGTATCCTGGAAATGGGCACGATTTTGTATTCAAGTGACACCTGACTCCCGATGCAGCATTTTTCAAATTCTGCACAAATTTCGCTATACGTCGTTGATCTCGCATGGAATCAGTATCTCGGCTAGATTCACTTGCCTTCACGAGTATCCTGGAAATGGGAACGATTTTTTATTAATTTGATATTTCCCTTCAAATCGGGACGATTTTGTATTCACGTGATACCCTCCTCTTTGTGCAGCTTTTTTCAAATTGTGCTGATTTCGGCTCTTCGTCGCTCATTTCGCTAGGAATCAGTATCACTACTATATTTACTCCCATCGCGAGTATCCTGCAAATGGAGACGATTTTGTATTCATGTGTTACCCGCCTCCTTGTGCAGCATTTTTCAAATTGTGCCGTTTTTCGCTATACATCGTTAATCTCGCTAGGATTCGGTTTCACACGTAGATTCACTTGCCTTCGCGAGTATCCTGTAAATGGGAACAGGTCAGATCGACCAGAGATTTTGGTCGACCATCATGGAATTGCTTGAAATTTGGTGAGGTTTTAGCGTTTGACCCAAAAACGGGAAATCCAAAATAATATTTTTTTTCTGACCAATGGTGTGTCCGTGGCGAGGTCACAAAATTTTGACCTATTTTTGCTGGCCCGGCTGACCTCTATCAGACTTTCTGCAATAACTCCTTAGCTGTTTGTCATAGAATGTTCATTTAGGACTCCTTTTAAAGGTCTCTTTTAGCTCTATCTTAAAAATCTATTTCGAACTAATATACACGTATACTCATTTTATATAAAAATTCGAAGGCGTTTGACCTTTGACACTTTATATAAAAAATATGTAATGTTTAAATGTCACGAAATTTACAAGATAACACGGAAATAATATGGTTATGAAGCTCATAAATTTTTTGGAGGATGTTTTTTCCCAGTTTCGAGATATGTGTAAAAATGTGCTTTCCTTTTTCCGTTTTTGGATCCATTATTTTTCGAAAACTGAAAAAAATTAATGTTGCCCCAACGTTTAATCAACGGGACTCACTTGTGGTATCGGAATAGGTTGAATTAGCAGCTCTACACCGTTTTTTTTTAATTTTGAATCTCATGTTTCAACATACAGCACATCAAGAAATATGTCATTTAGGAATTGAGGTGAAAGGATGTAAGCTTTTATTTCATTTCGTTTCAGACGGATCTGGTTCAGGCAGCAGAGTTGATTCGGATTTGAAGGTGGTTCATCAATCAATAGGCACGTATGAATGATGTTTTCGGGCTTATGGAATTAGCTGGACGGACTGGAATCGCGGATGAAGTGTATTCTCTGTTTACTTGACCTCCTCCTTTACATACATGAACTGGATATTTTCCATGCCGGCGTTTGCAAAGTAGGAAAGGTCCATTGCACTTAAGACGTGTCCGTCGTTTGGCCGCTGGATACTGGCCCTTGTGGCCAGACATTTCACAGTCCCACCAAGACCATCACATAGACCCTTTCCATGACTCGTCACAAAGAAGTGTCACAGTGCGGCGATACTAGTCAGCCTTGTGAAGGCACAGGTTCGAGAAGTTCTTTATCATTCATATCGAGCAGTTGCACCATCAGAGAGGTGGAAAGTACTCGATAGCCCGTGGACTTTATCATTCAGGATTGGGATTAAAAGATTCCGATAGTGGTACACAGCCACTGTGTGCCACTATCGGCCAATGATTCTGAAATGATGCAGAAATTTAGGTGCACCAGTTCACAAAATCCTCGTTTCGAACATTGCAGACAAATGGTTGCAATGTTGCTTGGCCGTTGTTCCAGTGAAATCCTAGCGCTTCATCTTGCACAACAAATGCATCGTTTTCTGAGAAGCCACCAAAGACAATCGCCTCCCCATGTTTGAGTTCTTTCTTTGTCTTAGATAGATATGCAGCTTGTTCTCTTGCAATAAAATCGTGGGTTTTCAGCTGTGTTAGATTCGACAGCAATTATGCCACAAAGTCCTCTGCTGGGTCATCTCCAGATTTGCCCGATCAGTGAACACCCACTGTTTGTAGGTAATCGTGTCTACCATACCTTTATCAAAGCTGGTCAGCAAGTCGTCTTGCAGGAATTCCATTCCTGGGCAGCTTTTGCATTGGCCCACAAAGCGGGCTTCTGTTGACTGGTTGCAGACAATATTGGAGGTCAGTTCTTTGTAGGTTCGCCTAATTCTTCCCCATGTAACACCAGCTTGACATTTTGATGTACCGTGTATACGCACACGGTATGAGTGCAAATGGGCACGATTTTGTTTTAATGTGATACCCGCCTCCAGATGCAGCATTTTACAAATTGTGCAATTTCTACTATAAGTCGTTCATCTCGCTAGGAATCAGTACCTCGGCTAGATTCACTTGCATTCTCGAGTATCCTCCAAATAAACAGGAATTTGTATTCATGTGATACCCGCCTCCTTGTGCATCATTTTTCAAATTGTGCTGATTTCTACTATAAGTCGTTCATCTCGCTAGGATTTGGTTGCATGCCAAGATTAACTTCCTTTCGCGAGTATCCTACATTTGGGTAGTATTTTGTGTCCTTGTGATACACACCTGCACGTGATGCACTTTAAAAAGTATGTGGATATTTGCGATTCACAGTTCATTCCTTCATGATTTGTTTTCGGAAGTTTTTTTCTTGGTTTCGGTGTCATTCTGCAATTTTAAATAATTTTATCTTCATGTGATTCTCACCTTAATGGTGGTTCAGATAAATGTAAATCAATGTGGCATCCCTCACACTTGAATGCATTTAGATAATCATTATGTTAGTAATTGAAATTGTTTATGTTTCAATTACAGGAGCAATGAAAATAAAAAAGTTCTTCACCTGAAGTAAATTTTAGCCTTTTACAGATATGTGATCGAAATGATGATACTCCATTGTTACATGTAGTTGCCAAAGGGTTTAGCTTCTCCCTATTTGACAATAGGCTGTCATAACTGAGGTTACTGAATAAGCTTGTAGTCCCTTTTTCATTTTTCCGAACTCCATTCCTCATGGTGGATAACTCCTTCCACATTGGCATTTGATAGGCCTAACATGCTTTCCTGGATTGAACTTTTATGGAAAGATTTCCAAGAGATCAGGTAGTAATTGAGCATTATCCTCAACATCTGAGTTTCATCTGGGATTCGTCCCAAAGCCCCCATGTATCCTACCTTTTTGTATGTGTTCGATGGCAATAAATCATCCCATCCTAACTTTTGAACCTGTCCTGAGACTGTGTGGGAACCACAATGGAGAGCCAGTATTTCATATTTATCCAGATAATCACAGAACAGTCACTCACTGAATAACTGAATGCATGATTCTGAAAAGAAAAAAAAAACTTTATTCAAGACACTGAACAAGAGAAATGATAGAGGAGTTGCAATAGATGTCATGACTGGCATGGAAACAAAATGAAATGCTTAAAGCTTCCCAGTACACCCCAATAATCCATTTAGTATAAGACTTTGAATCTCTCTTTGAACGACAAAAATCAGCCTTTCCAGCTTTGCTTCCTCTGCATAGTTGTTCAGAGCCAAAAACTCCACAATACAGGGATGAATGCCTCTTCAATTTGTACCACCAAGTTCTTCAGTGTTGGAGTGGGTGATGAAGCGGAGACGCTTTTGGAGAGCAGGTCTCAGCATTCGAATGATCTGCTCCACATGAGATTCCACCATGTAACCAGTGAACATGTATTTGATATGATACCTGGAATTCATCCAGTCAAGGGTGCATATTTGCCTAACAAGAATAAGACAACTCCTTAGTCCATCTAGCACAACTGCAGCAGACGAGGTGTTTGTGCTCCTTTGTAAGCAACTTCAATTCTTGTTGCACCTCCATATGACATCAATCAGGCTGCCTTTTTGTTTTAATGTCAATCCCCTACCCCCTTCTTATGCAACATCAATACTGCAGGTTGAATTGTGATTTTGATATTAAGGGATACTCTACCAGCTGCTAATGAATTGGAGGAAGAATTTCAACTGGATCTACAGGTTGCTCAAATGGAAGTCTGTGAACACAAATGGCATAATCATAATATGCTTCCACATAACTCAGAAAAATGCCAAGGCTTGTTAAGATGTGCTAAGTATTACTTAAAAACTTCAATGGCATAAATACCAAACAGACCCAATGAAAAGGCACATCTGGTAATCGCAAGAAAATGCCTGTTAATGCATCTGATTTCATTCCTTCCTCTCCAGAACTTGATGTTCATGGATTCTGGTGGGTTTATCAGTAGACAGCTGCATTAGTAATGAAATTCTGAAGCACTGCTTTATCTTTCTTTCTCATATGGACTCTCACCTTCAAGATCATGTCACAGAAGGGCAATCAATTTTTTATTTATAAAATCCACAATTAGCTTAAGTCTTGCCCATTCGTTATTTAAATAACATAAGGCTTGAGGTATGGAATCTGTCAGGCTGCCATCAGATTCTTTGGAGCATTCTTAACAAAACTTACCTGACTATTTTTCTGGCCCCCAATCCCACCCATGAGATGAGAAAACAGGAAAGGATACAAGAGGTCACAGATGGTGTCCATGAAGCGAAGCACTTGTTGGCACTTATCAACCTGCTGAAGGAGCTGATAGAGTGCAACAGTGAGATCCATGAGAGCACGGGTGCATTCAGCATGCAAGCGACGCAATGAGGGACCAATGAGGTGGCAGATCCAGAGGAGCTGCTCCTCTGTCTTCACCAGTGGACAAACTTTTTCCTTCAAAAATCTGTACAGACAAAATGATCAGCTACTCACTAAGCAGGCATAACCACTTGCTCAGCTCATCCAAGGTCTGAAGAACTAAATTCTACTTCAACCTTCCACAAAGCAGCAACATATGGACATCAAATCATATTTACTAGGTTAGGTTTCAGCATGATCCTCTTTGCTATTTGAATTGGCTTTTGTTATAGACAGAGAAAACTGCATCCTTGGTGAGAGAAGGAAACAAGCAATCTCTTATCTGAGGACTTTTGGCAATCTCTTCCAATTTAGGGAAAGCTATTTTTGTACTAAAAATAGGAGCTCAGCTACTCTTGTGCTTGGCTTCATTAAGTGTTAGGCAAGAGTCTCCCCTTGCTACAGGAGGGTCTTTACAGGCATTTTATGCTCTAGCACATCTTCTATCCAAAGCACTCAAATTATTTGTGGTAACAGTAAGAGAAATGTCTAACAGTACTGGAATTCAATTCAATTCATGGCACTAAAATCAGGATACGAGGGATGTTTCACTTCCGTCGGGACTTGGCTATAAAATGATTCCAAAGAATTTTTCAAACATTTTTCTCTTATTCTTCAACTCTTTTCACACTTTCTCAACATAGTCACCGCCAATTGCAACACATTTTTCAGCCTTGGATTACTCTGTGGCGCGCGCATCGGCTCGCTTCTCATCTCCATCCTGGAAAGACTAGGAGGGGAAAAATTATGAAAAAAATGTGGAAACACCCTGAAGAATCACTCTATCGAGGCAGCATGGTCTGTACTTGCTGAAAGCACACAAATGATTGAAGTCCCGGTGGAAGTGAAACATCCCTCGTATATAACAAGATTAGCTGAACCCCATAACATTGCAACTGTTAGGCAGAAAAAGGGATGGTTTTTCATGTCCTGGATATACTGGACAATGAGAACTCACTGCGGAAGCCCAACAAGCTGTCGAATCACTGCATGATGGAGGATGGAATGAGACAATGCCAGGAGATATGCTGGCTGGACATGAGTCAGAGTGTTGTGAGCCTTAGAAAAATCAAATAACTGGAAGGGGTCCACATTCAAATTGTATGATGTCATGAGAGGTGAGTCGAGGAACTCAAGTATTCTGTCGAAGAGGACCTGCCAATAAGGTTCAGGGAGGGAAGTGAGAATGAGACCCACTCCATTGATCCAAGAGCCCAGAACTCCACGAGGAAGGGCACTGTGTCTGAAGGGAAAAGTACAATAGTCCAACACCACACTCGAAGTGCTTTGTTATGGTTATTGAATCCAGTCTGGATGATTAACTCACCCCCTAAGGATGACATCAATTAGATTTGATCCTACTGTAGGAGCAGGAACAGGGAGACTCATGAGCTCTGTGCATGTGATGTACAAGGCATGAGCTGATGCATTGGGGAATTCATGGAATCTCCAATCCCCATCAAAGATGCTCTCCTTGCCAAGTAAAGCTGAGAAGAGAGGATATTGTCATCAAATAATTTATTTCCATTCAAAAGTAGCTAATATGTTGTGGCTTAACTTGAAACTTTTTACTGAAAGAAGAATGTCATACTCTGGACGAAGCGGTGCACAATCTTGGCATAGTAGTCCAGTTCAGGTATCCAGGATGTGTCATCACCAGGAAAATTGAGGTATTCTTGCATCGGTTGGGACAGATGAGATAGACCGTGGACACCAGAGCCAAGGATCACAGACACGAGCTTCTTCTTCAGCGCATGACGTTCACTTAGGCGTCGCTCATAGTAATGCAGGGTATTGTATAAGTATGTCACTGGGTGGTCTTTTCAAAAAGAGAAAATGGATGTAAGTCATATGGAGGCCAAAATATGAAAGCACCTGAAGAGGTCATGTCTTCAGATCTTACCATGAAACTTGTAAAGAGATCCAATGCTGTCCAGGAGGAGGTCAAGTGTACGAGCTACAGAAACCATGGGGGCAATCTCCAGGTATCGATGAATGACCATGTCAAACACCTGTCAAAGTAAACATAAAGAGTACATACCCAAATTGAATAAGAGAAAAACTTAATAATGGGTTTTCTTACTACTTGCTCTTTAGAACTTAATGTACAAGGAATTCCAAAGCATTTAGCAAAAAAAATGTACTACAAATCAGATTCACTCCTCTCACCACATTAAACAAATTTGAATTTACTCTAACCTACCTTTTACTCCTCCACCCCTGGTACTAGCACTGGATGTTGTTGAACACCACTGACAAGGCCTATTGCAAGAATGCCAGCTATCCTCAAATGTGCATTACTATCCAGTATTTGATGTTACTGTACTTCATGCTGACAGATCAATTGCATTAGAAAACAAAAGTACAAAATTTAATTATGGATATCCATGCAATTTGCAATCATACTCAGTTCCCAATCTCTTGTACCCTCTATTGAGAGGATGCAAAATGCCTAAGCAAGAACAGACAGAGAACTCACTGGTAGGAAGCGGAGGCAGATATTGCCAAAGTAAATGGGTAGGGTGGCTGCATTCTGATCCAACAGTCCCTCAGGTGCAAATGTCTCTTGATAATTGCTATGGAATGCCAAATGCTTTTCATGCCTACAAAAGTCAAAGAGATGTGTTTGTTAAGTGATGTACAAGTGAAGCTGGAAAAAAAACCTGATCATTTAAGCACTCAAAATATTCCCTTTTTCATTGCAAGACTTTATTGGGAAAATCTTTGAAAACCAATCCAACAGATCATGGAGATAATTACACAGCATTTTATGGACATAATATTTCCTATACTCACCAGTTGCTGAGTTTCCAATGTTCAGGAGAGTTGTCATGAACAAATTCAGTTACTCGGGTCTGAAAATCAGTGTAGCGGACAAGAAGAAACTGGATGATGAGGAAGCAGACCTGTGCCTCCCTTTCTTCATGATTCCTTAGAATCTACAAGGAAGAAATATTCAGCCATTATCCTGGGTAACTTCACAACAAATAGCAATACATGTATTCAAAATTGGCAAGGCCATGAATGCACTTTTTGTCCCATGCAGGAATCCAAGACAAATGCCAAACATTCATACAATTATTCATTCTTTGATCTATCACAGGAAATAAAAGCATTGAAAATCATAAGCATTGGATGCATGTCTCAATATCATTAGTCTGTGTTTCTTATTTTGTTCTGCACCCAATATACAGTACCTGTTTGGACTTTTCTAGAATGTATCAGATTGTTAACAGAAGTAAGTCTACTGGTGGAAGAGTTCTCAACTGCTACATAACAGGTCAACATTACATGGCCATGTTAAAGATATGGCACACATATGGTATTATGCCTTAACAACCCAATTTGGAAACAAAATCCTTGCAAGTGGTGTGACCTGGCTCATAGGTAAGTATGAATAAATCCTGTGAAATGATTCACAGGATTTATAATGAATCCATTAACATCCTATGAAGGGTCCCATGTCATCCCATGAATGGGTATGTGGAACTACTGTATATGCAGACAATTTCTTTATCAAGGATAACTATACTCTTGGCCTACATGTAATCTTAGCTTTCAGATCTTGCTGGAAGCTATGAATGGAGATGATGGTAAGAAGAAGTACATGAAAGAACAGTTCAACAAATCAATGATTTTTCTGGCAATAATACATCACCAATTCATTCACTTCATAAACACCAACATGCATTTGTATACATTCTTTCCTCATCCCTGGTTACCACATAACACAAAGAAGTGGTGCACTGTAATATGCTTCAGAATGTAACAGTATTTTGTTTAACCAGCCCTTAGGCACCAATTTTAACTAAGTAAAATGATGAAATGAAGAAAAACAATTTTCTAGTCTTTCTACATATACCTTCATGTGATATTCTCTTTCTGATCAGCAATCTTTAATTTCATGCACACTCAGCCAACCTATGATTTGTTTTCGCTCATTGTAAGATTACATCAATATAGGCTAGAAGCTACGAGGGGGTCTGAACACCCATTTGATAATGCTGAAATTATTTATAACCAACCACATACTGCAGTTCAATGCCAGGAAATAATATCCATGCATTTAAAATTCAAATGTACTTCCACAAATTGATACTTCAATTTAGGGAACTGCATTGTACTGTACTGAAACTTATTCATAGTTTTTTTTTTTAAGAATTCTTTAACTAAAATAATATGCATACATCAGGTTATAAATAAAACAGGAGATTATAGAACAAAAAGTTATTCTTCTATATCCTTACTTCAATTAATACATTCATAAAGAAAGTGCTGTTTAAAGGTCACATTCATTAGAAAAATATGCCCAAACTTCTATAAATGAAAAAAAACAAATGGAACCATGGTTACCAGGCAGAGGATAAAGCGGTCAATGGGGAAAATGTGGTACTTCCAGATGAGATCATTCACAGCTTCAATGCACCGATTCACCTGTGCCCCATGACCAGAGTTTGAGAATTCATATATGAAGTAGTCACAGAATGTCCTCAGGTGAGCTGACAGTGCTCTTGGCCCAATTCTTTCCAACACCCTGAAACATAAAATCATGATGAAAAAAATTGGTTGATAAATGATATATTATTGACAAGAACCATAACCATAATGATGCAAAATATTGGCTAATTTTTGACCTACTGATAAAGAATTGAAGACCCTGTAAGAAAAAGGCTGCTTTCTCTGAATGTCAACAGTTAGCTTTGCCTATATCATGACATGGCCATCCCTGAGTCTCAATAAAATAACAGCCTAATACATTGGTCATACACAGAAGAAATTATGCTCTGGTTCATCTGATTGAAGAAAGGGGTATAACATTCTTAGAAAATTTGTAGGAAATTTTAGAATATGCTAATATTAGCAAAATGTATGTGACCAATACATCCATAAATAGATCAATATGCCAATATAAGTCAGACCACTAACTAAAAATGAATTTCCATTTGCCTATCCCATGAAAACCTCTAGTGGCATATACAGAAGAAATATAACCCATGATACAGAGTTTCTTAGGCGTTAATGAGCAGTGAGGAGGCCAAGAAACTCACTTGTATGTGATTGAGTTGATGTGCTCTGTCTCCATGAGCATTTTCCACAGAAGGCATATGAAGAGTGGTGAACCAGATGCAGAAAAATGGGCCACAATATCGCTCTCATTGGTCATTGAGAGCCAATTCCGATATTCATCCTCCACAGCTCTCTGTCATTCAACAATAGATGGTGAGACAAATGACAAGAAAAGTCAAAGATCATGTTCATCAGTGTCGTACTACAGGGTATACCCCAGTCTACATGATGATTCTAAATGTCTATTCTGCACTGGATTTCTAGGCTGCTCCAATTAAAATCTAGAAGCCTCTCTCAGTCTTGTGAACAATGGATGAAGAATTGAAAAATTAACCCATTTGGCCAATATTTACTGTTTTGGACAGAAAACTTACTGCTTGAGTAAGTGTGTAACAAATAATTTAAAAAGTACTTATTTACCCTAAAGTAAGAAGCATGACTAGTAGGGGCTACATGATGGTGGGTCAAGATGAGTGAGACTTGCTCATAACACCAGATAGTTGCATAGCACTGGACTAGTCTGACTCATCCATAGCAGTGAATTGGTTAAATAGGCTTTGATTGCCTTCTGGCTCTCTATATGATGCTGAAGTTCTATGCATTGCCCTGACAGGGTGAGACAGAATGCACACAGTTTCTGGGACAGCTACTCATGATGCTGAGGGCTGAGAAAGGTCATGAAAAAGCTCCAGTTTTAAGTAATAACAGCTTTTGATAAACCACAAATGTTCACTTTCATGGAATATGAATAAGTTTGGCATCACCATAAATGAGAAAACACCCAGAGTATGTTTATCTTGGATAAGTGGTCTTCATGCATGAGTTCAATGTGCAAAAACAAATGTCCCTATTTTGGTTTTGAAAACTAATTTTGAAACAATGTTCAGAGTGCTTGCTTTTTACAAAAGATTCCCAATCTGAAATTTTGAGCTCCAATTTGGAACAGGCCTATTCCTATACACAGATTGGGCTTCTCTCAGCTAGTTCAGCACTTGCATTAAGAGCACACAATTCTGCAGATTGACATTCAGTTAGCACTTGCTGTGAATTCTTGTCAAGTCCAATTATAAAAAATTTTTGTGGAATCTTAACAAGGACTATTCTCAGAAACATAAAAGAAAGCATTTTGCCCCTCATCACTGATTCTAGCTCTCACCACCATGAGCAGCAGCCCTTGTATTACTATTATACAAACCCACTGCCAACTTTCCCATTCATTATGACAGATATAGTTGCCCCCTTATTTGCAACTGAAGGAAGGAAATTATAATGTAGACACCATGCCAGTTCATTTCAAGACTGGCATTCACTTTTGGAGATCCATCCCAAGATAATAGAGGATAGAAACTGAAGTTGCTCCAGGCTGACCTTAATCTGCTGCTTGACATCTTTAGCAAGTGTGGTTGGGGAGTTGTTGTAAATCTCAGCTAGACCAGGAGGAAAGCACTGAAGAGTGTGAGATGGCCATGTGAGGGGAGTACTAGTTTGTACACACATCACCAGCTCCTTGTACCAAGGACCTGACACTGATTCTCCTCCTGTACATAATACATAAAGTCTTACACTTAAACACCATTATGTCTTCTGGAAAGTAATTTAAAATTATTAAATCAACATGGAAATGTATCCAGCTGTATAGCTAGGAGAATGGTGAACAACAACAAGATAATCATCACCAACACATCAACATGCTTTCAACAAATTTGCCATCAGAAGACAAGACTGGAACTGACCAGCAACACCCAGACATGCATTTAACCCTTTGCGGTCCAACCTCATCCCTGGGATGAAATTGATAAAACTGTTTGCAGTTATTGTTTACATAAGGCCAGTTTATCCAGGGCAGCACCACCGAGAGTGTTGAGTCAAAGTTGTTGCGTTATGATAATAATTTTGCTCAATGGAACAGTGCTATTCTTTTGCGTGTTTATAGGCATTATTTTTACTTTATCAGATGGCTAGAAATTACTCAACTGCACAAGCCTTGGAGAGTAACGATGATGATGAGGAAATGAATGCTGACAAAGACAAGAGCAATCTACAAGACACTGAACTGGACAGTAGTGATGGTGATAAGGATACGAACAGTGAATATGATGATGGTGACAACGGTGATAATGATAGTATGCAGTATGTCCAATTTTTTAACAGTGTAAAAAATTGGACTTTTTGGCCTGCGAAACTTAAAAATAATAGGACTGCAAAGGGTTAAGGGTGCTGAAGCTTCCTTCAACTGTCCCCTACTTCCAAATGAGACATTTTTGTATTTCTCCCAGACTATATTCACCAAAGAAAGTTATGCCAAAAACTTTTCATTTAAAAAAGAAAGTTTCAATCCTCCAGCTAATAGAATGACATTAATGAGAATAGCAACAAAGTTCAGAAGAATGATGACTTCCATAAAACAAGCTATATGTTCCACATGTTCCACCCTGCTAATAGAACATATCCCAAGTATTCCTTTCATCTCATTTTGTTGGAGTATGAAGAAAAGATGAAGAACAGAGGAAATACACATATGGCTTATATTCAGTAGGTATGTATCTAACTGCTCCCATGTAGAATGGAAAATGGACCCTCTCAACAGCCAACAGCTTCATTTTATGAATATCCACAGGATGGAAAGTATGCATTTGCAACTGTGGAAGCAATCATTCAAGAATGACCTCAATCATGTCCTGTTCTGTGATTTATTTGATGTTCAAGCATTTCATGAAGATGGTAATGGATAGAATATATGTTGTGGCACAGAATTACAACAATAGCTAAGTATTTGACTCAGGGAATTGTAGGCTTTCATTTGGTGCTCTGCAATTCATCCTTAGCAGTTGACAAATGAAGCAGGGGCATTGGTGAGTGCTTTTCATGCTTCTCAATATGCAGAACATCTGAATACACTTGAAAGGAACAGGAACCCTAAAGCAAGAAGACAATGTGCATCATGTGCTGGATAAAATTTGACACTCCATGAACCATGGACTTTGTCATTAAGTTAAAGTTAATTCCTCAGCACATGGAATTGAACTCAGATTCACAATGTATACTTTGACTTGACTTGACTTGGGAGTTGCAAAGAAAGTATAACCTTCCCATCAGTGAGAATAGGTCTTTTAAATTCCATTACCTCCCATTCGCACAACGTAGAACAAAACTGTCAGTCAAACTTGCTCCACTCCCCTTCCCCAAAATATGCAGCATAATCAATCACAACTCAGCATTAATGGGGTAAAATATAAAATTTGATGATCCCTGGAGCATATAACTAGAAGAAGATATGAGACCTAGACACAGTCAGTGGCATAGCAAGGGGGGGGACTTCAGCCCCCCCAAGTTTGGTTCAACTCTGGTTGGAATGAATTTGCCCCCCCCCCCCACCCCAACAAGGAGAAGTAAGCCTTCCCAACATTCCACTTAGCCACCCCATTGACAAAAACCTGGCTACGCCACTGGACACAGTTTACCCTACCCACAATCACCCTATATTGAAGGTCCCATTTTCATTTGGCAAGAGTATGTGACATGCCAGTGATGGGCTACATATGGTTTTCCTCGGGGTGAAATGCTGCTCACCAGCAGAGCTCAAGAAAATATGAGAACTGCCAATAAGTGCAGTGCAACCTGAATAGACTGCAAAAGACCTTGTTCCCATGTGCTTATATTTGCCAATTGGCAATAAGTCAGACAAAGGAAACAACAGTACCAGCATCTCCATGCCCTTAAATTTGTCACCTTCTGTAGGTTATTGGAATCTCATCTTTCACATCATCTTCTCTGAACTTCAGCTCAATTGTGATTCAGAGACAACTAATTAGAAAACAGCTCACCTGTGATATGAACAGCACGAGCAAGAGTAAGGATGAGAGCCCGGTTGAGTTCCTCAGACTCAGATGACACTATGCTTTTTGGTTCAGACAGGAATCTTGACAGCTGTCCCTGTGGTTGAAGTTCCATACTTCCCAGGCCTGTGATGAGTCTTAGTGCTGTGCTTTCCACACTTTTCCACAGGAAAAATACAGAACAAACAGTCTCCAATTTCAGACAATGTCTTTGCAGAGGTGTAATTACTTGCATTTGAATATTATCAAGAGCAAAAGTCCTTGGCACTAAAATTCTACCACACTTCACTGACACAATAAACCAGCCTATTTAAAAAATTGTATGCAGGTTCCATCTGGATGTAGCCAGTAGAATTAATATGTTAGAGATGAACTAAACAAGGATAATAGGTTTTCTGGGAAACTTACAAGTTTTCATAAAGTCATCAAATCACTTAGTCAAAGCAAATTTACTTATGCATAAACTCACATGTTAGCAAAACCATAAAGCCTGATTCCTCAAATACAAAATAACAGGATATTTCAACTCACCAAAGATGAAGCTGGGTATGATTAGTTTGTGGGACAGTAGAAAGACTATGGAGATGAGAGAGTAGCTGTACTCTATAGTGGGGTTGAATGTGATGTAGACGATGGCTAAACATTTCCAGCAATGTATGCATGATTCCCCAACATTGGCACTTGAAAACAGTGGGCAGCAGCTGACCTGCAAGATGCAGAGAAAAATAAGAGATCTCTGCATTCAAGTAGGAGAATAGGAGGAAGTCTTCCATGACCTAATGAATCACTCCAAGGAGTGCTGTTCCTTGTAAAACTCAAGGTTCACCTTGGATGACCTTTATGACAAAGTCATACCATGAGACAATATTGGTTGAACTCACCAATGAAGCCCTTGATTCCCAATGACTCAATCTCAGTATAGACAAGGAGGCGACTATATGTCTCCACCAGAGCAGGCGCAAGAGCCAAGGTGGATTTTGTCTGCACTAACTTGATCACATGTGTGGCAATGGAATGAATGAGGCTCATCTTGGCATGAACTGTCAACGCATCCAGAATCTCCATTGGGAGAGGGGTGGCTGGTCCTCCAGCAACACAGTTTGTCCCTGGCATTTGAGTCTGGATCTTCTGATGTGCATGCAATGAATCTACCAGAGCACCCATTGGACGTGGAAAGTATTCCTGATTTGTTGAGAAAGCATTGCAGAGGAGAGCCACACGGTAGTCAGTGCCAACCGTCAATGGAGGACTGTTATTCAGAACAAAGTGTTGAAGGTATCTGGAATTGAAATGGCAATAGAAACTTGAAGTATGAAGGATACAGACAAAAAATGATAGAAAAAATTTCCTTTTCCAAAAAAATCTTCCTTTTGGAACTCAATAAATCCCATAAACTACACCATGCATCAGATTTACCAATGTCCACAACTTAAGCTGTGATGAAAGGGATCTTCAACCACATGCTGAATTTTGTCCCTTAATTTTGCAAGCTAATTGCCACATTATCATGACATTCATAATTCATTCATATTTACATTCATATTTGAGGCCTTATGCCTCTTCTGTGCAACAAATACAAAGCAACAAACTCAGCTTTTTAAAGCTAGAACATACAAATACCTGGCCTAAGTTCTGCCACAGTATCTTCTCATATTTTGTTTTGCCTCTCCAAGAGCACACCCAGCAACCTCTCAACAAAGCCCAATGTGCACACCCATGTAATGAATTAGTGCCCTGAATGAAAATCAGAGATAAAGGGGTCATGGACTTACTCATGGTGAGTCTTGAGGGCAATAGGCAATGGTCTGTGCACGCTCACACCTTCCAACTGGGCTTTCTTCATCAAGTGGATCCAAATGCACACAGGAGCCATTTGATGACAGGAAAGGGGGTCATTAACATCCGGAACAGGCAAAGGCTCTCTCTCAGGGTAGAGAAGGTCATAGAGTTTCAGTACAGGGAGAAAGTCACTTAACTGTGGGGGAAAGTGCACAAGATCACAAACAAAGAAATTCTTTGCTGAAATATGCATGCCAAAGGCAACTCACAGGATTTGTCTGAATACTGCCAGAGATGAATTGGAGGAGAGCCCACATAAGATGGTCTCTGGCTTTCTGTATTTTCTTCCCTGACAGCTGTAAAAGAGGCACATTTAAAAGTAGCCTTGTAGTTCGAACACATCAGAGATACTTCATATTGCAATTGTTTCCTGTGTGTCCAGATATGGTGTATAGCATGAATTTTTGTCTGGATTTAGCTACAACCTTGGCTAGAATTCATGAAAGGGGTGGAGCCTTGGTTGCATTTGCCTAACTAAGCCTATATCTACACTTGTCAGTCTGATTTTCCCAATCCAGAACTGTTTCAGATGTGTATTCTCCACTATGGGCACTGCCTTATTCCTTCATACATTTATCACATTGTAGTGTCAGTGAAAGAAACCACCTAGCATTTTCATAGACTTTCACATAGCATAAATTCTGTGTATGGGATTTTCAGATTCACTTCAGTATATGTGGTATACTTCCATTATTTTTGTTCTCCCTATATAAAAATATTGTTTAAATTCTCTGAAGTCCAATTATGCCTCTGTCAAAACATTTCCATAAGTTATCTCCATAACAACTTGAAGGCAGACACCATGCAGTAATAGCAAGATAACTTCTTATCTGCTAAGATATATAATCTTGTTAGTTCAGCAGACTCCAACTAAAATCCAGGCAACAGTGCCAGAAGTATTCCAGTATTCATCTGTGTGGAACATAATCAAAGGCAAAAATCCTGTAACTGAATCTCCCAATAAATGAGCCTTAAGAAGAACCTTCAACTTCACATATATCCATCATACAGGGTGTGGCAAAAGTTTGGTGGCAATTGAAAAACTATAACAGGGAAGAAGAATAAAATGTGGCAGAAAACAATAAATATTAATGAAGTTGCTAAGAAGGAGACAAACAAAACTGCGTTCACAGAAATGTATAAATTTTCATAAATAAAATTGTAATATGTCATAACATCTGTCACAAAACTTTTGCTGCACCCTGTATATGAAGGAGAAACAATATGAGGCCTGTACTCACTTTGTTTATGAACTCCAGGACCATGTGTGGAAAACTAGAAAATTGGAAGAGTACAAAGAAGATGAGCTGAGCAGACAGATGTTGCCAATGTGATGGAGGATGTCGATAGCCAGGGCTGTCAGATGCTCTCTCTTCATGTCGCTCCATCGCATCAACAATCAAATTCACTAGTTCATTCTCTAAAACCATGCATCGCTGCTTGTGCTATAAGAAAATAAGCAGAAAATTTGAAGCAATTTCTTTTAATTGTCTTGAATCGATGAATTTGCAAATAAAGCAACTTTTAAACCCCAAAAATAGTGATTTGCTATTTACAGTGTTTTTCACCCCATTTAGACAATTTTTCACTTGACTAAGACACCGATTCAGAGAGGAGGCGAAGGCGCTGGTACCCCTGGTGACTAGCGACATCTTTCGCTCCTTTGAATAATTAGGATTTTTCTTAAGAATCAAACTATGTACTGGAAACGATGAACCGCAAGCATAGCCATGTTGTCAATGGGAGACCTTCCTTGCCATTTATTTAAATAAAAAAGGCTCTAAGTTTTCAATTTCCCATAGACTCAACAACGTAGAAACACTGGATCGAACTTCAATAGAAAATCCCAGATCCACATTAGATAGGCCTAATCAAGCATATGTGAGTTCGGAGTGGGGAATGATACTTCAGAACCCAGGAATGATGCCCAAAACTTTGCCTGTTTTATTGAAATATTATTAAGGAAAACAGTATTGGGTGACACGAAAACCTAGTTTTTCACTACAACATTAAATTATTATTTCTATATACTGTGCATTTAGGAAGGTTCATATTGGTTTTCCTCTCTTCAGCATGAAATTATTCATCATCGTTGTCGCCAATGTCATCTTGACATCTGCACCTAAGAATGGAACTCTTAGTTTCTGCGTCAATCAGCTATATATCACCCTCACCATGTGCTGTTGTCGAAACCAAGTGAAAAAATGTCTAACTCAAGTGAAAAACACTGTAGTAGGAATGTCATGAGATTGAAATCTGGCCTAATAAAAACAATTCAAAAACAACATTAGCAATATACATATGAACATACAAATTACAGAATATGCTGGTTAATGCTGAGGCTAAGGCTTCACATTGGACCATGACTGCTGATCATTATTTTGCAAAGGTAAGCAATTAAGTGCAGTCAAGCCAAGATTTCATTTTACTAGCCTCATCCCTATTGAAAATGTAGCTATCCTCATTTGTAGCAAATGAATGTTAAGGACATATCACATGGTTAATGTAGTGATTCTGTTATTGAAAAGAGGTCTCTAATTAGAGGGAAAACAACTGGCCTACCTGTTTCTGGAGGCCTAGCATGGAGCAGACCATGTCCCTGGAGTATGGCTGCTCCAGAACATATCTGAGAAGCTTGCTTTGAGGCTGCAAATACTCATTGGTGTATGGCAGATTCCCTTTGATGGAAAACCGTAATGTTGGTGGCTCCAACTTCCACCCACTGACTGCTTGACCAGAGGGACCTGTCTGATCCACAACCGGTAACAAGTTTGTCCGGTTCATCAGAGAAACCATCTGTGCAGTTGGGCGGAAACTGTCCACAAAACCAGATAGCAAGGGAGCCAGCATCTGCATTGCAAAAGATAAAGAATTTAGTCTTCCAGAAAGGTAAGGAATAAAAATCTTGCAACAATCATGTCCATCCAGAAGAGCAAGTCAAAATCATTAGTTATGCAAGGGGTGATGTAAAAACATAATAGTGCAAAATGAGACATAAAGCAGAGAGAAATTCTGTTGATGAGTAATGTTTGCACTCTCTCACATAGGAGTTTGGAGGGAATTACAAAGAGCCAGTCCACCAAATTGCCTCCAGTACGAGAGTCAGTCAATAAATAAGTTGTATTTGCCAATAACCCCAAAGTAAATGTTTCTTCTTGTAAAAACAACAGGAAAAATCTAAATATTAAAAATAATGTTTCAAAGGTACTTGCATATAGCAAACAGAGGCAGAATTTCATTATATTTGGTGAAGCTATTGAATTACAGAGATTTTTCAAAATGAACTGGGAATTGCTCCATGGTAGTCTTTCATTTCAGGATGTCCGAGCCTTCAGCAAATTTGTTTTCTTGTAAAAACAATTGTGCAAGGAGTATGGTCCATGAGGGAAGTCTTGTTGGAAAATGCTTCAAGTGATCAGGTATTCCTTGCATGATCAGTTTCCAAAGAAAAAAATTGCTAATGGCTTGGACATCCTAAAGTGAAAGGCTCCCATGAAGCAATTCCCAGTTCATTTTGAAAAATCACAGTAATTTGATAGCTTCACCAAATATAATGAAATGCTGGCATTGTTTGCAATATGCAAGCAAATGTGATATCAAATAGGGGTAGTACCAGGAGAAACTTTTTGGCACACAATGTTGAATCCATTTCTGAGTCTTAAGACTCAGAAATGGGACTTTCACTCTTTTGTTCCTTTTTGCCTTCATACTTCTCTTTTATTTGTATTTTACCTACTTCTATTTTTTTATTATTAAACTATTTCAAGCACAGGTGTCACTCAGGCCTCCAAAGAGTAGTTCACAATGTCTGAGCACTTTGCCAAAACACACTTACTTTGAAGACATGAATGAAAATTACCCTTCACCTATTCAATAGACACTTGAAATTACAGGCATAAACAGGAAGTAAAGACTCACCCAATGAGGCCAATGTCTGTTCTCTGGATATGCCTTCAGAATTTCATTTATGACAAAGTATCCTGGTAAGAGGCAGGCATTTCGGTCAAAAATATATTCCACCAATTCATAGAGTGCCTTTGCCTGAGGAACTTCTGACTCTTCAAGGGTTGCTGGGAGGCAGCTTGACTTCTCTATTGCCATCTGAAACATCAGCAACAGATTTCAATAAGTGCCACATATTACATAATTACAACATCTTTCTTCAGAAATATTAAGTAATTTCATCAACTGTTAAGTGACCTTGAAAATGGAAGGATCACTAATAGTTGGTCATTAGTATAAACAAGCCACTCCAGGTTGATGGAGTGAACAAAAACACCAACATTTTTGTTGCTTCCTATTACTTCCAACAAAATGCCCTTCTGATCTAGGGTGTAGTGGCCTGCAAGGTGCAGTCTTGCCATGAAATGGTTAAGATCTGAAACTGATTCTATGTACAGCATGTCAACAGAGTAGCTATGGGGAAATTTTATTATTATTGAATTTGAATTATCAATTATTACAAACTTCTGTCAGTCTAAGGAGGAAAGATGTGATGTTATTCCAAGGCCAGATTACACACATAAACAAATGGTTACATTAGATTCAAGGACAAAAGGTTGGCCATACATAGCCATTTGATTGACCCCATGTACATAATGTGCCCATGGGTACAGAATATTTGCCTTGCAGAAGTTAGTGATCCCTCTCACTTCTTAGGCTTGCTTACATCACAATTACAGGAAAGTGGCAAGCTGGCGATGTTCATCATTGAGATGATATAATTATAATCAGAGTTCATCTCATTCCCTGGTTTATTCCTCATTGAAAAATAAAATTTTCTGTCTAAAGCAATGAAAATTATCTGAATGGAAGGTAAGTGTTCTAGCTGTTCTAGGAAACATATACAATTTAGTGTGGCTATTTCTTCAAATGCACTGTAAATCTATATTTAAAAAAGACCTAATTATAGGAGTAAAAATAAGTAGTTTATCAATATGAATGAATACATAAACTACAATACTGTATTTCAGCATAAGTATTAAAAAACCCTCAAATAACACTATCTCTCTTTCTACCAAATTCTGATCTTCTGGAAATTCCAATACTGGAAATACCAAATTCTGGAAATATTTTTATTTCAATATTGAACAAATTTTCAGCAGTAAAAACAAGGACTCATTAAGTTATAAATACATTGATCCAAATCACTTTCTCCTTCAAGGTACAGTGAATGGTGAGCTTTATGAATGTCAGTAAATGTTTTTTTAAATAAGTTTTTCCAGATGTTTTGTGTAGCTTTCCTAATTTTGGCATACGTCAGACCCATTACAGCAAAAGTTAACTATTACCTTCACAGTTAAGCCATATGAAGCATAGGACAGAAAATGATGCCAAGTTCTTTAGGAGGAGTATAGTAGAAAATAACTCTCAAAAGAAGTGTCTCAGTGTATGCATACATGCAATGCCATTAGGATGACATCGAAAATACATCAATTGATTAATTAATCATAGAAGGAATGTTAATTTATCAATTACTTCGTTGAAGTTTATTACTTGGCTCTATACAAGAAATTCATACAGGAAGCAAAAAATTTAAGTTTTGTTAAGACTATTGAATCAAAGTAATTTAAATATATAATCAGTCTTAATATCAATTTAAAATCAGAGTAAATCATTGACTCTGAATCTATGCAAGCTAATAAGTCCAAGAACCCCCCCTAAAGCTCTGCCATGATAAGCTCACAATGTACCGAGTCCTCCCGAAAACCTGGGGGCAAAAATATTAGACAGAACAAAGAATAAATGCAATAAATGTTGGAGATTATGTATAAATGTGAATTACGAAAAAGGAAATTTGTATTAGAAAGGTCCACTATACTATGTACCATAATGGATAGGACTGTATTTCAGTAGAGCCTTCTAGTAGTATAGAGTATATTATTACTCTGTATAATGTGATACTATAATACCTTCCTGGTATGCAAAAATGTTCTAACATTGAAAATGAGCAGTTCTTACCTTCATGATTTCTCGAACTCCCTTATATTCCACATTTGTGATCATCCTCTTGACAAGGCTGAAGGATCCAAGCCAATACTCTTTGCTCTTATATGATAGCTGGTCAGCTGACAGCAATGCTTCACATAATGACCTGAAATCATCCCAAAAACCATCATATCAGCACTCAGAAGGTAACTCACACTTGCAGACCTAGTCTTAAAGAGTGGTTTTCAAATGAATATTAGAGAGAGCAATCAATTGAGCAATTGGGATCCCCTATTCTCTGGGGACTTCCAACAGGGACCATATGATACAGTCACAGATTCTTACCTTGTAGATATAACATTCTCAGATGCAACATGTTCAAGGAGGCTGAAGAGAACTTTGCAGTGCTTTGTATTGTCTTGACCACTCAGAAGGGAAACAAAATGCTTCAAACTAGCTTCCTGTACAAGGTGAAAATCTTGGACCTCTCCTTGGTTGTTAGAGAACAGACTTCTCAGTTCCTCTTTGTAGGCATCAAGTTTGTTCTGTTCATTCTCCTTACTATGAACCATGAAGGGGGCAAAAGCCTCTTCAATAGCTTCCACTTTCTGAAATGAAATCATAGAATCAAAATAGACACATCATAGCACATTCCTACTTGACATTTAACCCTTTGTTGCATGGTGTTCTTTAAGCAAACGTTTTGAAACTTTTTTGACAGACAAAATATTGAGTAACTTCCATAAGAATATAGTGTCCATATCTTCATATCTCCCGATTTTCATAATATCACGGGTGGTGTGCAATGCCCACCTCGTGAATCGAGATCAAACACATCATCGGAAGATGTGCCCACAAAAGTAGGCGCGATGCAACAAAAGGTCCATTCCAGTTGAAGAATTCAATGACAACCCATAAATGATTAAAAAATGATTATACTTTAATACGCAGACTGCACAGCAAGGGGCACTCACCAAAACATCATTGAAAAAGTTGGTCAGCTGAACGTTCATATTCTGGACGGCTATATCAATAGCCATTTTCGGAATGTAGGCCTACACCTGTCCAGCTTCGTGCAAACGCACTCAAGTTGAAGTCAACATGCGTTTCAAATGACACTCATGAAAGCAAGTATTTTTAGGCCTGACGATTTCTAGTAACTAGCTGATTCAGCCCATGCCGGACAGCAGAGGATCAGGACGCAGCCATGTTCCTTCGTAATTTCGGCGATTGCGTTCTCAGTCCTGGAGCACGTGAGTACACAGAGTTTTGCTCAGATCACTCGGCTCAGTGAATAGTGACCTGATAGGCCTATAATCAACTCAGTTATTGTGGTTTTGCATTCATTTCATACCACCTTTAGCATTGCCTAAGGTAATGCAATGAACATCCAGCAGACACCATCCAAAGAACTAACTTCGACCCGATTTAAAAGTTGTGCGAATAGGAAGTGGTGAATTACTGTCGTCACCGATTTATGGTACTCACACCGATGCGACAAAGCACGCATGACCTGGCAGTCGCGTGCCCAGGAAATCCGAATGGGGGGGGGGGGGGGGGTTTGCCATGTGGAACAACTGTTAACCCACCCTGTATTTGTGGCAAAATAAAAAAATTAGTGAGAATCAAACCTGTAAAGTTGACTCCAAGAAGACACTCCTGACTCCTTGGGCACACCTCTGTGACCTGGCATGTCAGCACCTTTTACATTCATGCCCCAGTGTTAGAGAAAACAGGCGAAACCTTGAACCTACCTGCACATCTCATTCTCAATTTCTTGGGTTGACTGCCCATGTGCCTTCCATTGCTAGTTCTTTTGTCCAGGGTATGCAAAAGACTCCTCATGAACACAATCATCACTAAACAGTGGGGTTTTTTTTTTAGAGCTATGGCTCTGTGCATTGCACTCCATGTGAACCTGATTTATCTTCTTTTCCTGTGACTTTTAGTTAGAATACATTTTTGAAAATGATAAATCAAAATTTTTAAATGTAAAATATTGTGTGTAGATATATGAGGGAATTTGCAAAAATGAATGTACAGAAGATTCTGTTGGAAATGACCAGAGGTGACAACAGTGTGCATTTTGCATCCAACTTCTGTCCTTTTATAGATTGAGACCATAACAGAAGTTGTATTGGACTACCTTATCTGCTGGTTATATGTATGAAAAAGCATATGTTTGACCTGCATATAGGAAAATTGAAAGCCACTCTCTTTTGGTGGAAGGAAGAGTACAGTCATATTGTTATCTCTTGTAATACTTTCAGAAGCATAATGATAAGCAGCGTATGCACAAGCCAATCTTCTCACTGGGAGCATAGAATAGGAAGAACTTTTTTATATCCATGATCCAGGCATTAATTCATCTGTCTGTGACCAGCTAATTTCTGTATGGCAGACCATATATGTGGAACATATATGATTGACTGAAATGCTTGACAGCAATGTAAGGAGTAGTTCAAAGGATTGTGAACATGTTAGCTTGGCACTAGGCATAAGCCAAAAATTGCTATTTTTTCCTTTTGTGAGTGGATAGATAAATGAGTGAAAGTAATTTATTGGATATCTTCATTTAATATATTACAGAAATCAATGCACCCATAAAGAAGCAGGGCAAAGCCCAGTGTTCTAGCAAACCCCCCTTCTCAGTATCATTGTAGATGTTGCAGTTAAAGTAATAGGGGTATGAATAGGAAATGGAAAAAGTGCCTGGATGCTATGAATTTCAGGATTGCTGGTTAACTGCAGGCAAAGCAGTTAGCAACTTGATATTGCTTTACCAGAGTTTCCAATTTTCAGATTAGCTTTTTAATTAATCTGGTAAAGTTTCAAGTACTATCTTAGTATGCCTATAATCCTTGAATGCAGATGCACACACACATTTACAGGTGACTGCAAAATGATCTTCATATTTTCAAAGAAAGGAAGCTTATATGGTCACATTGTTTATGACTAAGAGATAAATGTATCCTAGTTCCCAATGTATACAGTTTCTGAATCTTTGCATGCTATGATTGCTGTCTGTATTATATTATGTTAAAAGTGCTAAAAGAGAAGAGACCATGTTGCAGTGGTATTCACTGTACAGCAAGCCCTCACCATTTGCAGGGGATATGTTCATGAGGCACCTGCAAGTGGGGAAACCACAAATGCTGGTACTAAAGGCTTATGGGGAAAGGGGGATAGGTTTCTGACATGTGAAAATAACCATATTTCAACAAGAATAAATTATGTAAAAATGGAAGAAACAAGTGTTGGATACAGTAGTGCTGTTACCTGTGAATTAGCGAAACTGGGAATGGTGAGGGTTTGCTGTATAGGCTGCTACATGCCAGTCATAAGTGTGTATCAGTACAACCCAAAATAAGATGCTCTGGAGCAGCCTTGCCATCAAATTTTTGCATTGAAAGTGAAAAAGTAACTAATTTTACAATGTATATTGTTAATATACAGTCACTGCTTCATTGCAGGAAACCAACCACATCATGGAATTTCAGGATTTGACCTCTCTCATTACTGGTGCTATCTGTGGATTGATTGGCATTTTGGCTGGAGTCCTCATCAATCGTTTCAATGTCATCTACATTGCACAGCACCCTGTATGTTGTAAGAGAAACGTCTGTCTCATGACTAAAATCAGTGAAACTTGTCATTGAAGAAAAGGCAGGTAGCAGTCATTCTATGCCAACAACAGATTATTAAGAAAAGGTTGCTAGACCTACAGAGATTTTCTTTAAAAAAAATTCTGCTTCTAATAACAGTCTTGCATGCTTTTGAAGCTCATGGCCATCTCTATAGTTGTGTATATCAAACGTTTTTTATGCAATGTTCATTCATTCATTCTTGCCATTGCACTCTACAACTAGAGGCAAGCTGTAAGATACCAAAACATGCCAAAATTAATACTCTACAAGTTCTTACATTGCATCTTTAAATTGCATAGGTGTTTCTGTCATGTGTTTATTGATTGAGTCTTTTCTTCAAAGAATTAATTGGAATTTTCTCTTCTACCAAAGGTGAAAAAAGATGAAAAGAAGCATGGTGGAGACCTGGTCGCAGAAGTCCTCAAGGCACATGGAGTTGAGTGCATGTTCACCCTTGTTGGTGGGCACATCTCACCTATTCTCGTTGGTGCTGAGAGGCTGGGCATCAGAGTCATTGATACTCGCCATGAGGTGAGAAGATCCTATGATGTGCCTGTCCTAGAAAGCTAAAGCTCCTTATAGTTAATGGAATTCTACCTGCTTTTAAATTGCCCCCATAAAATTGTTACCAGATCTGAGCTAAGGTGTCCTCAACCTTTAGGGCACATTTTGAGACAGTTCACTGGACCTGCCAGAGTTTCAGTAATGCCTGTGTGATGTGGCTATGACTATTTTTTATCACATATGTAGCATGACATAATGACAATTATGAAGGTCAAAGCCACTATTTTGGTCAATTTTTAGGTCAATCAATATAAAATCATCAGCCCCCTAACTACAACCACATACCATTGTTGCAACCAATCGATGAGCACCAGCAGCATGTAGACCCTTACAAAAGTGATGAAGCTGCTTCCCTTTCCCTGGGGGGTAGTGCATGTCTAAGTTACAGGAGTCAACAAAATGGATGTTTTAGTGCATGCCTACTGGTAAGTTATATTTGGATGGAGAACCTACATGAACAATTTATTTCTTTAGATCAGGGATGTGCAACCCGCGGCCCACAGGCCGCATGTGGCCTATGGACCTGCTCCTTGCGGCCCGGTAATGCATAATGGGATAACAGATAAGTTTCTCTGTGGCCGAAGGCCCATCACAACTTTGGTCTTCCCTTAGTAACAAGAAATAGGCTGAGTCCTTTCACTTCCTTCTAATTTTTCCTCACGTCAGCAGTGCTACATGCATATGTCCGAAGGAAGAAGGTTCTCAATGATGTTGGAATTTCCTATGGGCAGGGAGGAGGTAAGGATCATCGGCCAATCAGCATGACCTTATGCCCTCATATGCCCTGAGGATAAAAGAGGGGAGCTTTTCTTTTTGCATTCTGTGGCCCACGTTCCATGCCGATAAAGGTTGCACACCCCTGCCTTAAATAGAGAATGCTGGAGACATTTGAAACAGCTGCAATTGAGAGTTGCAACTCCTCCCCATAAGTCAATGCTCCTGCAACCCACACTGATAAGCACTACACAAAGCATTATGACCACCACATTAACTCTTTCGGTGGTATGGACATACCAGAACAGTAGGGTGTGCATGGTCCTTTTAAACTTTTGTCTTTAAGCTTTTAGCTTTAGATTAAGCTTTTAGCTTAACTTTAACTTAAATTTTTACTACTCAGTCGTGCAGGTATTGCATATTTCCAGCCAAAAATCTTGTATTAGCACCAAGCTCACTCACCCCCAAGACAAACCTGCCCAGGAGGCATGGCCATGCATAGGAAACTCCTTGCTGAAAGGGTTACTTGACAGGACTAAGACCCTAGATGGGTTGGATGTCCAGTGATTGGTATTGGCAGATATACAGGATAATTCGAAAGCCCCTCCCTAACTTTTTTTCTTTATATTTCCATAGATTTTTGAATATTTTAAGGTGAAATTAGCTCACATGATAGTCAAGAGGTGAGAAACTTTTTTGAAACACCAAGCTTCCAGTTTCTAGGCTTGGAATGACAGAAGGCTACTCAGTTTTGTAGCAGTGCAAAATGGCTATCTAGATGAACATGTTTGGTTCATTGACTCTTATGCAGCATGAATTGTTAAGGCATTTTGAAGTTCATGACGTTCACGATGCCAAAACCATACAAAAACCACACAATATATTTTTAGAAACTTGAGGACTTGAAAACCCAGGAGTGTTTCATGAGCATGATTTCTAAATACCAAAAAATGTTTTTATATGCTCCTACTGCAAAGGAATCATTGAGCCTTTTTTCCGACATGATGATGGACAAAAACACATTTTAATGGTGAAACTTAGATAATCTCATCAAGGTTAAGGGCTCTATTTGAGTAATAGCAAAACATCTGGAATATTTCATTTCAACAGGATGGGGCTCTGTGTTGTTGCGCATGTGTGCAATGACTCTTAAACCATCACTTCCACCACCAATGGATTTGGAGATGCAGTCCAACTCCCTGGGCTCCTCAGTCATGTGACCTGACCCCTGCCAACTTTTTTCTGTGGGGCTGTGTAAAATGTATGTTATAAAGTCATACAATTTAGCAGATTTGGAAGTGTGGATCAGGACTGTAATGTAGGAAATTTCCCTAGAGATGTTGTCCTAAGTTGCGAATGAGGTTGTGATGACAAAAAGTCATGGCTGCATTGAAATTGGTTTTGCGCTTGTGGAAGTGTTGTGAAAGTTTTGAAGTTAATTTTCTCATATTGAAACAAAACTCTCATAAGTGCTCTGAAGGATGATGCATTTAGTTTGCTTGAATCTCTTTCATTCTTGGAGAAATTTAATTTTGCAACTTGGGAGAAACTTTTGAATCACCCTGTATGTTGCCCAAGGCATAGATACTCCATAGGAGTCCAATCAGCATGTACAGGGTGTCTCATAACGAGATGATTTTTTAATAAAATTTTAAATTCTGCACTGATTCTGATCATGTTTATATATTTTTGTAGAGCATTTCAAGAGAATTTTCTAACCCCTATTTGAATGCAAACAATCAAGAATAAATTAACTTATGGCAATCCTCACAGACACCACTTTTCATGCCACTGCTCTCATTTTTCAGCCGCCTGGTTGTGTGTGTTAGTTAGCGTGTGCTAATTGCATGTAGCATCTCTCTGAGTTAAGAAGTATGGAATAGGTTTTGGAAAGAGCGAACAACAGAAATTCCAGGTGAAATTTGGCATTGAGAGAAGCCCAAGTTGATCGGTGATGATTGATTGGCAAAGTTTTTTTAAAGCGTGATTTCACATGCACAGCGGCACAAATTGCAATTTGCCACGTTGAAACTTCGCTCTTCATGACTTACCTCCTGGGCCTTATGTGAATCTGCAGATGAATTTGACCTTGGGCTTCAAGGGTCATTCTAGGCCTTGCCAATCTGGAGAAGATGCGCTACTAATTGCTTTCTTCCTTACTGTGATTTTATCATTAAAATGATTTTATTCCAATATTTCACAGAAGCTGTAATAATTCCTTTCATATTTATCAATTTGAGTTCAACAAAGTGTCAGTTGAATTCTCTCAAAATGCTCTACACAATTTATAAACATGATTAGAATCGGTGCAGAATTTAAAAAGTTTTTCAAAAATCAAGTCATTACGATTCATTGGGACACCCTGTATATGCCTGGTAATCAAGGTTTCTTTTCTTTTTTAGAGCCCACCATCAATGATTCCTGAGAATTTTTTTTCTACTTGCCTAAGCATAAAGCTTCTATGAAGATCCATGTCAGAGGGGTTAAAAGAGGTTTTAACCCTTTTTCTCTTGGTCTGCTATTTCACTTAACACAGCACCTTGATCCTCCCCTCACTTAACACCTACCCATCAGATCTGCCCTTGTATGAGGTTAATGAGTCAGTTACAAGGAAGGGTAGTAGCAGTGAATTCATTTAGAGGTGTCCCACATCAGGCATGGGAATATTTCTGTACACTATTGGTACACCATGATTATTGGCACAAAGAAGAAGCTTTCTGATTTCAATTTCATTGAGATTTTCAGGTTTCAATCTGCATTTTGTTTGTCTCTTAGGATACCTATCAAGTGTATATTAAACCATTTGCTTGCTTAATGTGTCACCCATCAGTGATTCATGAGATTGGGGGAAAATGAATATTTCCTAGTTGGAAGCAACTAACAATAGTGATAATTTTTTCCAGTGGTCTTCAAAATAGTTAGGAAATCGTGCAAACAGATTAATGGAAACTTCTGAGGTTGAACGTGTGCTGGTTTTTTATTTATAGGTGCTCAAAATTGATTATTTTTGCTTGGGGCTACCTTAATTCAGCTGTGAGTAAAGTTTCAAATATTTTGAGCTTATTGAATGGCAATGGAAGAAGAGCATTTTGATTCTATGTATGGATAATCCAGTCATGACACATAAATGTTCAAATGTATGCTTCATGTAGATTTTCTACCTCTGGACTTGGCATTTGACTTGTGAGATTAAAAAAAACTCCCATGTGTATTTATATAGGTGTGAATTGCTTAAGGCATTTTCCTTTCCAGGTGAGTGCTGTTTTTGCAGCAGATGCTGTTGCAAGGCTCTCTGGGAAAATTGGAGTAGCTGCTGTCACAGCAGGACCAGGACTTACCAATACAGTTACTGCTATCAAAAATGCTCAAATGGCTGAGTCTCCTGTCCTTCTCATGGGTAAAGTTTTAGTGCATTACTATTATTGCATGTTAAAATATTTGTGCTCTAACGGAATAAGGCCATGGATATTCATCACCTCACTGGATGAGGATCCATCTATTGCAAATAAGTTTTATGTTTTTGGCCTAAAATTGTTCATGGTTCTGTATGTAACCACTTGGTATAATAGCATCTATCTGTATGCTGAAATCAGATATCTGAGACTCTTTAGTACAAGTTCAATTTTAAAAAATTGGTTCAAGGTTATTTCAAAAAGAGTGATGCCATGATGATAAGAATTAACATCTTGGATGGAAGAATCACATTGTAAGAAAGATCTACAAATATTGTTCATTTTATGTTGAAGTTAGCATGAAATATTTTAATGAGTACACTGTGCAATCTTCATGAAGCGTCTTACTACACCCCTAGTCCACTTAACTTTGGATGGAGCATTTTTACATTAGTTTCCCAAGCTCCACCATGTTCAGACTGGCACTCTTGGTACATTGAAGTAGCCTCATGATGGTGGCTTCTAAACCAGTACCATATTGATAAAAATGTATTTATTTCTCAATACTTGTCTGCTCCATTCTGAAATCATTTCCCCCACATTTATATAGATGACCCGTCTGTGAGATACTCCCATGACATGTACGTCTCTCATTTCAAGTTCCTCAGTAAAAGGCCTCATGGGACTGTCTGCTGTATATTTATATTCTTAACCCTAGCTTCATTGCATCAGATATTCACTCATCTCTACCATCAAATTTCTACACTTCATCTCCAGTATTCCTATAACAGCATTGAAGGTGTTCTTGTAAGTTCTCCTTTGGAATGAAAAAAATTTGAATGCACATTCTTTGTGTAGATCATGTTCATCTGATTTTGGTGGAACCAAAAAAAGAGATTTCTATTCAAGGTGTTCCATCCTGTAAATGTGATTGATTTTCTCTTTTGTTGCCTTCCATCTCTTGCCATTTATGCATTTTGCATGGTTTTCTGCATGGTTCTCAGTGCATTCATCATTTACAGGTGGAGCAGCAGCCAATCTATGGAAAGGGCGAGGTGCTTTGCAGGATATTGAGCAGCTGAAACTCTTTGCACCAATTTGCAAGTTTACAGCGACTGTCACATCTCTTAGAGATATTGTCCCCACTTTGAGGAAAGCCATTCAGATTGCCCAGTCTGGGACACCTGGTAAGCAATTTTCACCTCATCAATGGATTGACTATTCATAGTTTTCACTATCATTTGTATCAATTTTGACCCTATGAAAGCACATTCTGTAGAATTTTATGTGTATATGAGCTATTTTCACATCAAAATAAAATTCTAGTCAGGTGGCATCCATCCTTCTCCCATGTAGGCCTCACCATTACCTAACTCTGAAGTATCTTTGACATTTCAGGTCCTGTCTTTGTTGAGTTTCCAATTGACACATTGTATCCATATGAAGATGTGAGTAAGGAATTTGCAAATGCTCCAGTTGGAAAAGGACTCCAAGGAAAGATTGCATCCTGGTAAGAATATTGTTTATTAACTAGAAGTTTGCCAAAAGACAGAGGTGTTAACTCCAAACTGGAATTTGATGGTAGGTGTGTCCAAAAATAAAGCAACAATGTATCATTACGCTCAGGTTTTTGAGAGGATGATAAATGAGGAATATGATGTAAGAGGAAAGGTAAATGGGCCAAAATGCTGGAATGCTCAAAGGATGCATAGGTATAAGTATAAACAAACTTTTTTGAGCTAGCTACTGTTTTGGAAGTGCTGCAAATTACCAAAGAACATCACTTTTTTTTGCCTCACCCAGTATTTTATAGATCTTTTACATCTCCCAAAATATAATTCTTCATTGCAGATTGCTTTGCCCTAGGTTTAACCATGCCATAGAACGTTTTGATAAACTTTAATTGTACTGTTTCTCAGGTATCTGAACAACTAATTGTTGCAGTGAATCGGAACAAGGAGCAATTGTGGAAAAACAGTGATCTCTTCTGGAAACCAAGTGTTGCAGCTGAGTGTGATGTGGGGACTTTCATCTGCCAGCTCTCTGCTTCACTTGCTGGTTTTGAATTTTCTTGTACAGCTGACTGGGTCCAGAAACTCAGGGAAAGGGATGAAGTGACAGGGAAGAAAAACATAGATGTGAGACCCTTCTCTTTTTGATAAATCAAATATCATCAGTATCCAAGAGCCAATATATGCATACCTCAGGCTCTCTGGAAAAAGTGTGGGAGCTTATTGGTCTCTCATGCTTTTCCTCATCACATTCATTACATCACAGGAAATGTAATTTGGAATTGTCTTACTTCAAGCATAGCAAATTCATAGAATCTCCCTCCTTCAGGAATTTCGTAATGTGCTGATAATTTTGTCCCACCTCATCCTGTAACATTTCTGCAGTCTCCCTTCTGGTTTAGTTTTTCATGACATGTTGGTGCATCAATTTTTCATGGCTTTGATGGTTATACTAATGATCCCTATGAATTTTCACGAAGTACCAGAATCAAAATTTACTAATGCTAATATAAACATAATTGCAAATGCATAGGTGATTGGACCCTAGAGAGCCTGGAAAAGGAGAGCTCAGAAGCAAAAAGGAGAAAAAGAAAAGGACAGCAGGAATTTTAACCACTGAAGGGGTTGACTCTTGTTAATTCCCATATGTACTGGTGCTAGTCTCCCACCATTGATCCTTCCAATAGACTGCTGTGTAACACTGATTTGAATATGCAGATTGTACATGATAATGCACCTGGCCTGAAGTAATATGCCAAGACACCTTTCCTTTCTTCCTTTTCCTTATTGCTTGTTACTTGTCAATGACTATAAACCAGGGGTGTCCAACTCAATTTGGCGGGGTTCAAATGATTTAGTTCAGGTGTGTTTGGGGGCCTCACTGATGATTCTCAAATCACATACACCACATTTTTAATGCAGGCAAGTGAAATTTGCAGCAATTTTCCTAAATCAATTTTTAAAGAGGAATTCGCAGGCCAGAGAAAATGAATTGGTGGGTCGGGTCTGGCCTGCCAGCTGCCAGTTGGACACCTCTGCTATAAACAATCAATGCATCAATATTTTCAGAATTGTTATTTTGACAGCCCTTTCCATTGGGTAATGAAAGGAAAAGGAGAGGGAGCTGTTCTCCTTAGCATTGGTATTTGATGTGAAATCCTATGTTCTTCTTTGCTCAAGATGTCAGAGGTTCCTGTGGACAAGTTTGTGAACCCAATGAAGCTGCTGTTCCATTTGGAAGAAGTCCTCCCGCCAGATTCCATCATTGTAGTAGATGGAGGAGATTTTGTAGGGACTGCTGCCTACATTCTCAGGCAAGGGTTTTGGCTTGATTGAAGTTCCTCATCGTAAGGAGAGTATTTTGTGGTGATACAAAATGAACTGTGGTTTGCAGGCCAAGAAAGGCCCTGGGATGGCTTGACCCTGGTGCATTTGGAACTCTGGGAGTCGGAGGAGGATTTGCTCTTGGGGCAAAATTTTGTAGACCCAACTCTCAAGTCTGGATCATCTATGGAGATGGATCTTGTGGCTACAGGTAAGGATTTGTGGAACCCTCAGGAAAGTAGAGTAAAAAAGAAAGTGTAAAGGTGGACAACAGGAGAGTAAGCATGAGGTAATTATCCAAAGTGGGTACAGAAGCAAGAGTCAACATGTGAGAATTTGTGTCATTGTTTGAGTGGAAGGTGATTTCCTTAAGAACAGTAAATATAGGAGTACAACACAAAATGAAGCTCTATGCCGATATGAAACTTGATTTATCCTTTGGGAGTAGATATCATACACTCTTAGGAACACTTGGAACAGGCCATCTATTAGTAATTTTCTTAGTGATACCCCAGAAACAGGGTAATCCTTAAGGTGATATTAATTTGGCCAGCCACTCTAGCATGAAAGATGATTCACTAAGTTTGAACTTCCAATCAAGTAACAGTGTACTCACCTTATGTTCATGTTGAACTGCATTAACAGAGAACTCTGATAACTCGGGTACTTGTTTTTAAAAGTGAAAGTCAAGAGAAAACTTGAGGTGTTACATGAGCTACCTACTCTTACTGAACTTCCCATTGTTTCAGGTTTCTGAAGTTTTATTCTTTGCACTTTATCATTCATATCCACAGTTTGGCAGAAGTGGATACAATGAAACGTCACAACTTACCATGTCTGGCTGTGATTGGGAATGATGGAGGATGGACACAAATTCTCAGGGAACAAGTTCCTCGTTTTCAGTCTAGTGTTGCTTGTCTCCTTGATGTAAGTGTTCCTTGATCATCTTTGATACTCTGCCCATTGCACTGAAAAAGATGGAGTGCATTCACAGAAATATCTTTTCTCTGGGCCTGCATGATATCCCCATTTCTGTTTAAAATGTATAAAAAAAAAGCTTGAAGATTTGCATGAACCTGGTGTTGCAGCACAATGACTATCACACGGTGACCAATGGATATGGAGGAAGAGGATTTTGTATCAAAGAGAAGGCAGAAATCAGCACAGAAATCAAGGAGGCAATGGAGTGGTACGAAGAAAAGCAGGTACCAGTTGTGATCAATGCCCTCATTGGGAAGACATCTTTCAGGGAAGGGAGCATCTCGGTCTAACACTCGAGTTGTTCTACATCCATAGAGGCCTATTCATAACCTAGTCGGTTTTGGGGTTTCACACTATAATGTTGATACATGCATTATTGGGGAAATTTGTATGGTCACAGTTGTTGAAAGATAGCAGCAGGGGATCAAGTCCATGCATCATACTTATGCTTGAATGACTGAAGGCTGGGGAGACTAATGGCAGTCAAAGGGGCAATAGGATTATTAGAAGGGAGGAGACATGCTATTTTACAGGTACTGTATAACTTTCGTTAATCATGTCGATTCTTTAAATACCTTCATTGTCATATGGACCTTTCTGGGTGAGTCTACCATCCAATTACACAGTGTTTATGCAAAGCTTACACAATGTGAAAATACAATGCTTCCAATCAAGTGGATCCTGCACAAGAAGTAACATCTATTGTTACCATTCCATAGCTCAGGAATATTATTTTGGGCACCATAAGGTGCATCCAGAATGTATCTATTACTTGCCTATAACACAACAGTGCTCAAACTTTTTGAGCCAGAGGCCACATACAGACGTGACCAAACTTGTGCAGGCCACACTTTACAAAAAAGTCTACTTGCACAGCTAAAAAAAATCCAGTCAGGGTTATAGTGTTCATTGTGAGTTTCTTTTCATTGCAAAGTACATTTAGTATTCATGAGCCATATACAGCCTGCTGGCCTCAGTTTGAATACTGCTGCTATAACAGGAGGATAAGTTGCAATGACTAATTCAAACCTAATCCTAACCTTACCTTATCCTCAAACCTTTTTGTTTGAGGGTAAGATAGGTGCCATCATATTCCCTTTCATGGTAACCAACAATATCCATTGAGGTACTGCTATCTATCTCTTTCTGATATTGAAACTGTCAGGGAAAATGAAGGAATGTATCAAAATCCAACTAATTGAATTTCATTTCAAAATTTTATTTAGTGTTATGAATTGATCAAAGAATTGTTGCATTCCTCTGATTTTGATGTTTTCATGAGGAATTCATTTCTGTTATAAAATGTCTGGAGGTCATTCCTCCAAATTATGAATAAAGAAAAATATTATGAAGCCATTTTTGAGTTCATATTGAAAACATTATTAAGATTCTTGACATTATTGGCAGGACTGGTGGTGTAATTATCAAGTTTCGTCCCTTGTCCAGTCCTGTCTGATGGTTTAGCATCCCTTCCTCCCTCCAGGGAGGCTGTGTGCAAGATTATGCCATTTGACTCCTTAACTTGTCTTATAATATCTTACCCTGATTCAAGAGTTTCTAGACCTCCTGGGGCCCCCCTGTCCCCTAGCTAAATCACTGGCGGTAAGAATTTGGATTTTAATATTGAACTCGATGTCGTCCTAGCCATAACATCCTCTCTGGTCTCATGTCCCTTTTTTCACCTCGACCACAGTGCAAACAGTATGTTTATATTGTTTTCCTTTTCCTTGACATTAAAATAAATTTGAAGGATGCATATATAAACTGGGTGATGAAAGGAAGGTGAAATCACTTCTAATCTCATGTTCCAAAGCTTTTTTCATACTAAAAACTCACAGACACATGCTGCAATTCCTGAAATTGGCACATGTGGTGCGTTTACAATCTAATGAGCTCCAACTCAATTTATGCCATTCACAGTTCCCTCTTGACAAAACTCAGCACTTGCAGAGAAGCCCCTTTGCCTTTTCTCTTGTGCAATCAATGGGAGCACAAGCTATTTGCTGACACGCCTCATCTGATGAACCAGAGGATGTTGACTTCGGTTCTTTGCTCTGGCTCCAGGTGCCACTGAGCCAGTTTCGGTTTCTCACTAACTGCTCCATTCCATCATTCCTTGTGCAATCGAGTCGTACGCGTACGAATGAATCTTGTATCAACAACACGTAACGTCAAAAACAAAGCATCAAATCACGTTCTGTCGAAAATTATCGCTGATATTCCAGGCAACGATATCGAATCAGTGTGAATCACGTAGTATCGAATCTCGTAGGATAGAGATTCAGCAAGAAAATTGCTCTTCCACGTAATCACGTAGCTTCGAAAACGCGGAACATCAACTCATGTAGCGTCGAAAACACATTGCGTTAAATCATGCAGTCATAATGTGTGTAAAATGTGTAGCATCGAATCACGCTCGGGTTTCTTTCAGTCAGTTCCCCGATGCTAGGATCGAACACATTAGGGATGAAGTCGGATCGGTGGTGGGCTCCGAGGAAGTGCAGGTGGTCCTTCACGTTGAGACAAACAATACTTCCTCGTCTGGCTCTGAGCTCATCATGGGCAGGCTATTAGGGCGTATCGGGAGGCAAAGTCGGGGTACGAGTGACGGTATGCGCGATCCCGAGCAGGCTAGACAAGGGAGGAATCACGTGGTCCAGGTCGGAAGGGGTTAACGACAGGTTAAGGAGTTATGTATCGCAGAGGGGAAGTTTGTGGACACTAGGGAGGCTCAGAGGCATTGTAAAAGTCCGATGGCGAGGGACGAAGTATTAATACATTCCTCGAAAGAGGGAGCTGGAGCAGTCGGATTAGCTATCATGAAGGAAGTGGAGCTTTTTTTAGAGCTCAGGGGGATGGCACTGGACGACGGTATCGATGTCATTGGAATGACCGAGACTTGGGGTGGTTCTTACATTACGGATGAGGGGAATTCGAGATCGAAGGATACGACATCTTGCGGAAGGATAGGCCTGATAGAAAGAAGGGGAGGGGAGTCATATTGTACACTAAAACTGAACTGGGCGTCCGCGTCAGAGATCTCACCTCGGCTAACTGCGGCGCAATCGAACACTTAAGGGGTGCGAGATCGGTGGGGCAACTGGGAGGATCATGCTAAGAATTTGCTATCGGCCCCCAATCTCTTCTCGTGAGAATGAAGCAGCTTATTTTGCACTGATGCATAGGATCAGCGAGATCTACGAAACAGGTAATGCTCTTCGGAGATTTAAACATGCCTAGCATGGATTGGTGCCGCGAGGGGGGAGCGAAAGGGATCGGGAATTTCTCGCTGCGGTTCAGGATGCTCTTCTCGTTCAGCACGTAGAAGAGCCGACTCGCGAGGAAGCTTTATTGAATTTAGTTTTGTCGACGAACGACGTTCTGGCTCTAGACGTTAAGGTACGGGATAACTTGGGAGATTCGGATCACTGCGCGATCACGTGGAATATCAAGCGGACGAATAGTAACTGCGAACCGACGAAGGTTTCGTACAACTATAAGGCTAATTTCGAGAGGCCCCGTGAATGCGCTTCAGGTATCGACTGGTATTTGCGGTTCCGTGGGCTGACGGTAGAGGAGCGATGGGGGCGTTCGAGACGTCATCGCAAGGCATCATGAAGGAATGCATCCACAAGAAGTCCACGAAATCGGTCAGGCAACCGGTCTGGTTTACGGGTAAAACGAAAGCACTCATCAGGGACGAGAAGCGGAAATGGGATACGTATAAGCACCCGGGAGAAAGAACGGACCGTGATGAAAATAGGAGGATCACGAGAACACCGAAGCGGGAAATGAGGTCGAGGAACGGCTGGCCGGCGATGCTGAGAAGAACCCCAAGGCTTTTTATCGATATGCTAGTGGTAGGAGTCGACAGTCGATCGGGCCTCTAATGAACGGCAGGGGGGAGTCGATTGCAAGTAATAAAGATAGGGCTCGGATACTTAACGAGTTCTTTGCTTCCGTTTTCACTGTGGAATCCGACTTTGGAGGAGGTGACTTCGGCGCGCATCGAGGATATTTCCACGACCGAGGAGACGATCGTGAATAAGATAGGGAAGTCGGCGGTGGGCAAGGCGATCGGCCCCGACGGGATTCCCAAGAGAGTCATCGAGGAACTCAACAGAGAAATATCGGTTCCGCTAAGAAGCATATTTGAAAGCAGTTTTTCGCGCGGTGAAGTACATAAATACTGGAAGCTAGCGAACGTCGTACCGATCTTTACGTAGGGCGAAAAGAGTCATCCGGGGAATCATAGGCCGGTAAGTCTCACGAGAATCCCAGGGAAGATCACGGAGAGCATCCCGAGGGACCACATTTTGGATTTCCTCGAAGGAAACGCGCTCATCCGGGACTCTCAGCACGGCTTTAGGAGGCGTCGAAACCGTCTCACCGACTTGCTCCAATTCTACGATTGGGTACGGAAGAGAGGGACGAGGGGAATCCCGTGAGCATCGTCGATTTAGATTTCGCGAAAGCTTTCGATACCGTTCCTCACGAGAGGTTGCGGGTTAAACTGGAGGCACACGGGATCCAGGGTAGGACGAGCGAGCGGATCGGTAATTGGTCGACGGGAAGAGAGCAACGAGTGATGGTAAATGGGGAAGCGTCGACCGAGGTCGGGAGAGCAAGCGGGGTCCCTCAGGGCGAGGTCAAACGACCACGAGTTTCTGGTTTACAGAAATGATTTGGATCTAGGCGTAGGGGATAGTAAGATAGGCATGAGCAAATTTGCCGACGACACCAAAATAGATTTTTCTATAAGGGGGGAGGCGGATAGGGCTCGAGCCGAGCGAGATTCGAGTCTTTCGGATGAGTGGAGCAAGAAATGGCTCGTGAGGTTTAATAAAAGTAAACGTAAAGTTCTCCACGTCGGTCGAAGTAAGGGTAGGTCTCTCGACGCGTTCGGCGAGGATAAATTGCTGGATGCTAACGGAGAGAAAGATCTAGGAGTTTCTGTCGACGATGACCTCAAGTTTTCCTGGCACGCGCAAGCGACAGTGGCCAAATGCAGCAGGATTCTAGGTTTCATTCGTCGTTCGGTTGCAAGTAGGAACTCGCGCGTTATTCTTCCGTTGTATGCGGCACTGGTAAGACCCCAGTTGGAATATTGCATCCAGTTTTTGAGACCTAAAAATGAGGGTGAATTGTTGGCGCTCGAGGGGGTTCAGAAGAGTGCCACAATAATCGAAGGAGGCAATAATTGAAGGATTTCCGTACGAGAAGCGTTTAGAAGTGTTGGGACTGTTCAAGAGGGAGGGAAAGTTAAAGAGGAGCGATCTCATCCAGGCTTTCGAGATAATTAAAGGAATTGATAACGTCGAGCGTGGTAGGTTCTTCCAGTTTGTTATCGACTCGAGTTAGGTAAACCGCAGGTGTGGCTCAGGTCGAGACGGCACTTTTTTACTTAAGGACCCACACGGCACAGTGATATCCCGAAGTGAACGACTCGTCCCGTGGTCTTCATCTTCTTTCGGACATCTCGTAAGGGATGTCTTCTGGACATTTTATGGATATCTTTAGAGATCTTCAGTGCTCTTTGTCGCCTTCAGTCAGGTGCATACCTTCGACGGCAGATGTCTCCCGTGAGCCCCGTTCTGCAACCTCAGATCTTTTCTATCAAGTTCATCTACTCGATTTGTCCCGAGGATGAGTAAGGACTTTTGTACCGTACATGAGGAAAACTGTCACTAGGGAAAGGGAAGAAAATTGCGGTCCGAATTTGTTTTATTCTGTTTTATTCTGATCGGCTTGTCTGCATACAACTATCTTGGTTGGAGGCCTGAGCCAATACTTTTTAAAAGGCGTGAAGCTAAATCATCTCGTATATAACCTCTCGTGCAAAAGTATTAAATTTCGTCCCTTGGATGGGTGTATCCCATGATGGGGCCCCATAGGAACAGGATGGTCCTCCCATATTCGTCACTCTTCGATCGGTCAAGAACTTAAGATTAGGTGTTCCTAGATCGAATAGAGACATCTTCGAAAGGAATGGGTTCTTCTGTGCGGTAGGAAATGAGTCCAATGCGGATAGGAAGGCACCTGCAAGTACTACCTGGGACTTCTCGCTTGTCCGTAGGCGATATTTCTTTCGGGACAACCTTCGGATATACTCGTGCTGTAAGAAAGAGACATTCTTGGGATGTCTTTACGCCCAGACATTTTGACATCCCTTAGATGTTCCTAGAAGGCATCTCTG